ATACACGAATTATACAAATAAATTATCAAGATTTGAACACATTCATAAGAAAAAAATATCGCTCTGTTTTAGAATGCAGCCATTGCGCCAAGTTCATTGTTTTGCCGCGGGACTTCTTTGGTGGCGATGGCGTGTGCTAGTAGTACTCGGGAATTCCCCGCTTTTTATTTTTGAAATTTATTCGTGGACTTTATTTCGTGATTTATAAAGTTGAAACTACAGTGTAAAACTGTTCTATATTAAGGGAGAGCCCCATTCGATGAATTTGTTTCAGGCCTCAAATGGTTTAGTTACACCACTGATTGTATGTACCTATGTATGTATATATATTTATGGATTTAAAAAAAGGCAATGCTACTTCAGTACTACAGACAGACTCTTCAATTGCATTTATATGTATATATTAGGGTCTACAACTAGATACTTATGGGTGCCTTAGGGGCCATCCATAAATTACATCACACGAATTTCATGATTTTTTGACTCCTCCCCCGTCCTTGTCATAGCTGGTCACATTTGTGAGACTCCCCCCCTTCCTAGTGTGACGTCACATATTTTGCAATTTTTACATGTACTATCAAGTTTTTTGTTAATATTGCAAAGTTCGTATTTTAACACGTAGATTTTGAAATGTGACATCACGAAATTTAGGACCCCTCCCATCCCCTTATCACACAATGTCACACTTCTTTGACCCCCTCCCTCCCTCTTAACGTGTGACGTAATTTATAGATGGACCCGTATACCTTCATAGGTCCAGAAATATTGCCGGAAAGGAGAATATTTTGCCTTTTATAATATTGAGAATTATGGTATTTTCTACTATCGCATCAGATCGCAGCGTTATTGTTTATTGTATAATAATACTTCATATTTGTATGTAGATACGTTTTACTTTATCGCGACTACGTCACTGTAACTATGTAAATTAATGAAGAGAGCAAATTCATTTGTTTGTTTTATAAACGAGCCACCGATTATGGAAAATGAGGTTGGTAAACTGAAATCGCGTGTATATCAATTATTCATGAAAGGTAATTATAGTGAACCTCCTTGTTAAATAGTAGTATGAAATATATAATTTAAAATAATTGTCGTTTCCCGCATTTCCAAACTGTTCGTAATTTAATCGATTTTCCCATGGAAAGGGTGGTTATTGGTTAGCCTCGAGCATCGATACCTATAGGTACGTATGAATATTAGAAGCATTGAAAATTATTAGATTCATGTCTTATAGAGTTGACTATAGACGATATCATATACAGTTTTAATATTATACGTACATATTTATGTGTGTAGTGTGAGGGCGCAGCCACTTCTTTTTTAATTCATTCGCTTGGTCCCGGAGGTCCATTCGTGCGGACAAAATCGCAACGCTGTTGTTGCCGCGACAGTGATTGACAGGGAAACAATAGCCAGTGTCAAATTATGACAGTTGAGTAAAAGAGAGTGAGAGAGAAGAAAGGAGAAAACAAAACGGCAACGTTAATGTATTTCGTTCAAGCGGCACTTATTGAATTAGAGTGAACACAAGTCGTTATTATATTACACGCTCGCGATCCTCAATTTACACTAATTCGTGATTCTTTTCATACGCAAATTACAGACGGTACGCCTAATTTCAGCTGATATTTTTATGATTTTGTAAGGGATGCAGCTAGAATTGCTAAA